TATTAAATGTAATTACAGTAGGTATTAAATATAATTACATTAGGGTATTAAATGTAATTGTTAATACTTATAACAAAAAAAAAAAGCAAAAAACTTGCACAGCAGTGAGGTATTAAATATAATTACAGTATGTATTAAATATAATTATAATGGGTATTAAATATAATTATAGTAGGGTATTAAGTGTAATTATTTATTCTTATAACAAAAAAATTATAAAAGACAGAAGAGCAGTGGGAATTAAATGTAATTATAGTGGGATATTAAATATAATTATAGTGAGTATTAAATGTAATTACAGTGGGTATTAAATGTAATTATAATGGGGTATTAAATGTAATTATTCATAATGAACCGAATATATCACTGTTTTGTCGAAACGGTTCGAAACAATGCCGTTTCGACCGAAACGGTTCGAAACAGTACCGTTTCGACCGAAACGGTCCGAAACAGTACCGTTTCGACCGAAACATTGGAATTTTGTGATTCAACTACTGTTTCGTTTCGGAGTGTTGAAATTCCGAAACGTTTCGGACGTTTCGGACGTGTCGACACGACATTTTGATCCTTGGATTCAGCAAATAAATCCTGTCCTTATTCCAGCCAATTACAAGCCATTATTAAAACTCACCCATGTTAGTCACTGGATATCTTTCTCCTACCAGCTTCAACTTTATTTTTGGATCTCTCCTAGACAATATCAGGGACATTTGTCATAAATGCCAAACCAACATCTGCATATCCTTAAATTGACGTCTGCCTGAACTAATATACTCAGTACATTAGTTCAGTCTTCTNGTCATAAATGCCAAACCAACATCTGCATATCCTTAAATTGACGTCTGCCTGAACTAATATACTCAGTACATTAGTTCAGTCTTCTAAGCTATCTCATTGTCAGTGAGTTTCTGATCTGAGAGGAGGTTTTTAAAACTATATGCATTAAAACACCAAGCAGTGGTTCGATTTTATTTTCTATTAGTCTCAAGTCCAATCCCAACACTAAGACTGTAGTATGTAATATCTATCAAAACATTAAACTGAATTCAACATTAATCTACTGGCATTCTGTTCCATAGACTCAAGAGAATAAAGAACGATGCAGATTCGTAAATGCTTAGAAATCAGGTCAGACATAGTAGAAGCTACTCAAGCCAAAAAGAAAGTAAATTGAAGGGGTTAAGAGTGGAAACCCTGTAAATTATTGGTCAAAAAAGTACCTAAGCAGTGAAGGTACTCCAAGGCAACCACGACTTCTGCTGCATAGAACCTGGAGAGTAATGGTAGTTAACAAGAGACATGCAAAAAATGTTAGGGAGAGTTTGCTTTTATGCTTCAACTGAAATCCACCAATAAGTACTTCTAGCCAATCGTCCTTTTCAAAACATATTGTACTCAATGATATATAAAGTCAAGAGTGCAAAATTTAGAAGCCAAACAGATGCACATCTGTCAATGAACCCTTGCATCCACCAACAAAACCAATGATTATATGTTTCTTCAAGTGTTTTTATTTTTTATTTTATTATTATTATTATTTTTTTTTTTGGGGGGGGGGGGGGGGGGGCGTT